GAGTATGAATGGGGTTATCTCTTAAGCAAAACTTGGGAGTCCAGTTTCAACAGACTTATTATAGCTATATTAATAGGACTTGAAATTGGATAATGTGAATCCTTCACCAATGTGCTTATTTAAAATGTTGACTCTTTGGTTTCTTAGCCTTTCCACATAAATTTTGTGTATAGGAATATGATTGACTTTTGTAAGCTGACCTTGAATTCTGCCATCCATCTTGATTCATGTATTAATTCTAGGAGATTTTTTGTAGATTCTTTGTGACTATCTACACAGACACTTGTCACCCATGGATAAAAACACTTCTCCCCTCAAAGCAATATGTTTACTTATTTTTCTTGCATTCATGTGCTACCTAGTACTTCTAACCTTTAAGGTAAGTCTAATATCCTTGGCATAGTTCAAAAGATCCTGCTTAGGTTTCCAATTCTACTTTGCATTCTGTCTCTCTTAAATGAAATGAAGCTCTTAGTGCCTCAAAAGTTCCAGATTCATCTCACCTCCAAACTGTCTTTTCAGCAGTTTCTTCTTCCTGCAACTCCCCTTTCCTTGCCCAACTGTCACCTAGTTAACTACTACTCATCCTTGGGCCTTAGCTTCCTTCAGATGACGTTCTTTGAGTGTCTCACTGTAGGGAGGACCTCCTATTGCTACCTAATGACCATGTTCATAGCACTTAACATAGTTGTCATTACTTGTTCAATATCCATTTATTCATGATACTATTTTCATTTGGGCAGAGACTACATCTATCTGCTTTACTCCTCCATTTCTAATACCTAACACAGATAGCAGCTAGAAAATGGACGCTTTTTAAATATTTCTTGAATAATTGAATGAATACTATGTAATTTAATAATAATAATACATATATAAGTTGATTACTGCAGTATTAAATTCTGAGATATAAAAATATACTTCTTCTTTATAAATGTACATATCTGGGATATCAGATTAATAAAATCCAGCCAAAGCAGCTTGAATAATCATTGTCATTACCAGCAACAGCACAATTTTGCCAACTACTATTTATTGGGTACATTCCATATAATAGGCATAATAATAGGTATTTTACAAGTACTTTATTATTTATCAGTTATAACAATCCAATTTTAGTTACTGTAATCTCCTTTTGCCACTTAACTTAGCAAAAATGTCCACATATTGGGAAATTTGAAGTGGTTCTTTGAATTTCACAAATGAGATAAAATGCACATCACTGGTGAAATACAGCTATTTCAGTATGAACATGCAAATTTATAAATCCAGAGACATTCAAAGTTAAGACAATTCTATATTCAACAATTATTTACAGTTGGTCTCTTAGCCATTAAGACATTGTCCTTTTCCCAATTAAAGCTGTGTGTCAACAAATATGTCAATGATTCTAAAATAAATCAAACAATTATAAACAACAGTGTAGGCAAATGTGTCTGGGGGTTTGGGAGAGAGAAAGATTAGTTCTAAAGTCTTTTAAGAGGGGACAAATTTCAGGAATATCCTTAACTGACTGTGAAAGGAAAATATTTTCTAAGCATAATGTAAAATAAAGAATAAAAATAATGATATTAATAAGTTTTTCAAACTCTATTCTCCTACCTCTTTGATAATTAAATGATAGGAAGTGGAGCTTCTCTTGTTCTTTGTTGGAAAGAGGTGAAAACTCACCCTTAGTGAATTTTTCTTATTTTATTTTATTTAAAAAATATTTTTTAAATGTTTATTTATTTTTGAGACAGAGAAAGAGAGATGGAGAGAGAGAGAGAGAGAGAGAGAGAGAGAGAGTGTGTGTGTGTGTGTGTGTGTGAGCAGGAGAGGGGCAAAGAGAGAGAGAGACACAGAATCTGAAGCAGTCTCCAGTCTCTGAGCTGAGCCTAGCACAGAACCCAATGTGGGGCTTAAACTCATGAACCATAAGATCATGACCTGAGCCAAAGTCGAAAACTTAACCAACTGAACCACCCAGGTGCCTTGAATTCTTATTTTAGATTAGCACTTACTATATTAATACCATGCAGATATTCCCTTTATATTTCCCAGAAAACGCAGGTGGCAAAAGAAAGATATTTCTAGTGATTTTGAGATATGGTCCTATATTCCTATCTTTATCTTTATTTTTAATATACTTTAAATGTTACAATTTCACCATTGGATGGCAATATTGCTTATTATTTCCCCTTTGGTATTCTTATAAGCATTTAACTGCAGAGGAAAAGCTGACATTGCCTAAGAATTAAGATTTTTTTAGTCAATTTTATTTCTTTTTTTGCATTATTTTATTTCATATGTTATAATGAAAATATATGCAAATGATGTTGCCTTCTAGACTGTTAATGTAGACGCAGTTAAGAAGTTAGTAAGTACAACATTCGCCTTTCTGGGTGGAAGATGAAATTATATGCCTTATGCTGAGCCTGATTCTACTCCTAATTTGATGTTATGGTGGAATAATCTGTGCCCCAGTCCTCTCAGAGGCAAAAATTCCTACAACTAAGGGCCATATGAAAAGATGGTCAATGATCATTTCCTATGAATCATTAGGATCTCACACTCCTGAAAAGTACATTTGCTCAATAAGTATTGTTAAAATGGTTTGAATTAGTGGACATAAATTTCAAAGAAGAAAAGGTATGATATGTTTCTCTAAAGCTGTAATTTATGTTCTGATTTGTAAATCACCTATCACATTTTACCTGGTCTTCAAAATAGTCCAAATGTAGCTAACCATGCAGATGTTAAACACTTCTCAGAGGAAAAACGTGATTTCATAGAATATTATGGTAGCCTACCATTCATAAGAAAGGGAAGAATAAGAATTGTTACAAAATATCTCTGAGTGATGCCTAGGTGGCTCAGTCTGTTAAGCATCCAACTCTTGATTTTGGCTCAGGTCCTGATCTCACTGTTCATGAGATCAAGCCCTGTGTCAGGCTCTGCACTGACAGAGCAGAGCCTGTTTGGGATTCTCTCTCTCCCTTTCTCTCTGCCCCTTCCCTGCTCATGCTCTCTCTCTCTCTCTCAAAATAAATAAATCAATATTTTTTTAAAAATATCACCAAATATATAGAAGGCTAATATGACACTTTCATCAATTTAGCAATAATTTATATTACAAGTAGATTAGAATAGAAAGTTATGATCTTATCTACAGTCCATGACAAAAACATATTCTTTCTATGCATTTCCATTTGTGGAGTATAGTTATTTATAATTAGAATTCATTAAGGAATTTTAACTAGTTGTGTTTCATTGTGACTCCCGGTTGCAGACTACTTACAGACTGCATAGAGATGTTTATCTATATAAAAACTATTTTTTTCAAAGCAATATCTATTATTTATCTTAATTTAGTAATGTAGTCATGCATGTTCAATGTGTCTAAGCCTTCTAAGTAAATTGTGTAAATTTGTATAATTTTATCTTTTAAAATTAAACATTGAGACTAAGATCATTTCCTCAATTGATAAATCACCTGATCTCCTGATATGTTCATAGTTTACTTTTATTTATAATAGTATTTCATAAAGTTCAAAGCATATTTTAATAAATATAAAATTCGTTCATTATTCTTCCATTCTGCTTACTAAAATTTGTTTCATTATGTTGGAAAACATGTCAGTCTCCATGTAAACCATTTCAGTCTAGAGAAGACAGTAGATTGGGATAGATCAGACAAGGGCCAGTCTAGGACTTGAGTACTCTTTTATCATTACATGCTGAAGAGTCCACATACTATGATCACCATATTAACTGTATGTGTATTGAAAGACCTGATGCTGTGTAACATAAAATTTCACCATTGTTTTATAAAAATTTGTCACATAAGCACTTATTATTATTATTTGTAAATCATGAGTAAAGGATCTCTATATCTAGTAGCACTAGGAAAATCATCCCGGTATATTTATATGGAATCACATTGCTTTATAATATTTAACATTTTACACTTGATCTTAGCCAAAAGGACGAGAAGCGAAAAATATTTAACATTTTAGAGCATCAATACTTCTAGTACTAGGTGAGTACTCTGAATACATTCAGAACAAATGAGAATCCATAGCTTCGATGGTCCCAGAGTCAAACACTATGAAATATTCATGGTCCAGAGTTTGTGCTTGGAAAGTAAAATATAAGTTGGGCCTATTTTCCAGGGTGAAGTTTTCATAAAATTAGAGATAATCATGTTCTGTAAATAGTTTTACATTTGTTGTATTTTAGAAGCACAGGCTTTGGCTTTCTATATAAGCCCATAAAGTCTTTAAGTTTTGCAATTTTTTTGTCTTGACAATTCAAGAGCAAAGCACCATAACTTCACCACTGCCTCCATTTTATCATCTAATTCTTCCTACTGAAATATATTCTTTTAATTCTTCTTTATCTCAAATAATGTTAAATAATGAGACAGTGTTTTTAAAATAATCCACATATCTTCATATGAAAATTTCTGTTTTCTATTTGATGAATAATACACTCATCTTTTAGTAAAAACAATAGGATTCTAAATGAAAATTCAGTCATTTAAAAATATATAGCTTTGCCAATTCTGCTAAAACTAAAGGCAGATTTTTATGAAAACTGTAACTCATGCAGTAATAATTAAAATAAAAATATTACATATTTTATAAAGCTCATCTCTGATTCAGCAAATGGCAAATAACTTCCTTAGGTAGTAAAATGGGTACAGAGAACTTTGTAGTATTCACTTTTTAAAGAAAAACTAATTCTTCCAGGACATCATTTAACAAATGGCATTGCAGTTATTTAAATTCTATTTTCATGTGCATGAACTGAAAGCGACAAGAGAAATAGCAAGAGTAGCCTATTTTTATGAGTGGGAAGAATAATTAGATTTCCATGCAGAGATCAGTGCAGTGTTTTGAATTGAAACTGATTCTAGGGAAAATAATTATTGGATACATTGCTATGGTAAGAATATATGCAAAGTTCTATTTGCCCTCTGTGACTCACGGTGACCTGAAATGTTCTCCTGTTCTTTCTGAGTTGTGATGGCCTTGCTGGCACCAAGCTCCTTGGATCTCATTTCAATGAAAATGCACAAGTTGATTACCTAATGTCAATGATAATAAAAAAAGATTTTGCCAGTTGGCTATTTATGGCTCAGGAAACTATCTGCAAACACAATTAAAGACTTCATTTAAGACTTTATATCAATTATTAAAAACCAACAGAGTTGCTGTGATAGCATCATACCACACAGAATCAAAGACTTTGTTAGGATTAATTTCTTGAATCATAAATAAATGAGTAAAAAGAGATGACAGGACTACTCGAAATGTTTAAACTTTCCAAAACTAAATAAAATCTTTTACCTGCTTGATGATTACAGCACAGACCAAATGTCTTCATTTAGAAGCCATCAACATTTACTTGCAGAATTTCACCATAGAAATTTCAGGGGAAAGTAATTATAGAGGTAATTTCAATTTAAAGCCACATAGGGGGGCGCCTGGGTGGCGCAGTCGGTTAAGCGTCCGACTTCAGCCAGGTCACGATCTCGCGGTCCGTGGGTTCGAGCCCCGCGTCAGGCTCTGGGCTGATGGCTCAGAGCCTGGAGCCTGTTTCTGATTCTGTGTTTCCCTCTCTCTCTGCCCCTCGCCCGTTCATGCTCTGTCTCTCTCTGTCCCCAAAATAAATAAACGTTGAAAAAAAAAATTTAAAGCCACATAGGGAAGTAATTAAGGGTAATAATATCTGTAGCCTCTAAACAAAGATATAGAAAATAGACCCTGTATCTTATTTAAATGAAAGAGGTTACAAAGAAAATAGCAGTGATTGCGGCTTTAAGGTAAGGAAAACCACAGTATTAATAAAACATCTATTTCCAGATATACGTCACACAATTATGTGTGGCAAGATTGTGCTGTGGTGTTTTCTAGAAATATTTTTCAGATATGCTACAGATACACATAAATAGGTTACATATCTTGTTTCATATTTTGCTCTCAATGTTAGTTTTGGTCTGATGGCTCCAGTCCTCTGATTTCACATTTCAAGGACTCTTTTCTAGCTTGCAAGTTAAGTTTGCAGACCTTAGTCTGGTGTTCAAAGAAGAGAAGGCATGGGGATAGAAAGAGAGTTTAAGGAGGAAGAAATAGTAATAAATACAGTTCAGTAGTAACAATAGTATGATTCATGGTTATTTGGATTGGGAGGCAGCATTACTGGAATACTTAAGAAGTCATCTTAGCAACCAGAGAATGTTGGGTTCAGATGCCAGCTTCACAATTTATAGGGAGCATGATTTCAGTGAATAATTTAAATCTCTTTCTTCATTTTTAATTTGTAATAATAGTTTCAAACAGTTTCTTAATCCTTAATTTGATATAATAAAATCAAATTTCACTTCAAGTTACTATAATGATAACGGAGATATTATATTTACAGTTTTTTGCACAATGCTTGATTTGTACTTGGTAAACTTTTAATGATTATTTATTAGTATTATCCAAAGCTCCCTAACAGTCTTTCCTTAGGAAATCTTCTTTTCCCACTTCTAGTTTTCCCTATTCCTATTCATTATGATCCAATGATTCTGCACAAATGAGAGATTGATGGGTCTACTGGCTGTGTTATGTCTTTCTCACTCTTTTTATTTCTATCATGGTCTCCCTACCTATATATTTCTATTTCTATCTCTCTTTCTGCTCCTTCTTATTCTTAGAAACATTGCTTTGCCTCCATTTTCACACACTGCAACCTCCAGATACTTCAAGATGTTGTATTCTCATGTTTGCATGTGTCTTCATGTGCCAAGTATCATGGGCGTACAGGTTCACAATTAAGTATCCTTCACTCTCAAGGAAAGAAGTCCAGAGAAGACCATTGAGAGAGGTTCACAGGACAGCTTTTAGCTAGATTATGCGAGATAGGTAGCATTGCAGGTTATGCAAGGAAAATTAAAAGGGGATTAATACTGTCTTCAGATCTGCAAAGGGATTTTTTATAAGAAGAGAGTTGATCTATGTTATAACAGAGAACTAATGTGTCACCTGTAAATTGTAGTGGGTCTGTAGAGGGACAGTCAGGAAGCAGATTTCAGCTTGGTGAAAAGACTATGCTGATGATTAAGCCAGGTAGTGCTAGAAAATCCTCTTTCATTACCTAGAGGTCAGCTTATACTTGAACCAGTCAAGGGGAAACTGGACATCCATTTGTCAAAAAAATCCCTCCCTTGAAGATACACAAGACTGCAATAGATGGTGTATTAGTTTCATGTAGTTGCTGTAATAAATTACCACAAAATTGGTAGCTTAAAAGAAGAAACTGATTTCTTCCTGTTCTAGAGGACAGAAGTCTGAAATCAAGGTGTCAGCTGCTTCATTTTCTCTAGCCTTATCATAAACCTCTCTTTTGCCACATAAGGTAATATCCACAGGTACAAATTTAGGACATGCACATATAGTTTTGGGGGCCACCCTTTAGAACATTAGAGGAGGCGTCAACAGTTCTATGTCTCAGATTCTATTGCTTTATGATTCAGTAACTGACTTCAGTTTTGAGTAAGTACTAGAGGAGGCAAACACTAAAGGAAACTCCAAGGAGAGTTAGCAATTTATAGGGTCACTGCCCCCAGCTAAAAAAAGTAACATAAACCAAAAACAGCTCAGGTTTAACTCATCAGTAGAATGGGTAGACCCTGATTGTCCTGGCCACTCTATCTCTGTCATGTTATGGATTTGTTTACATAGGAGCGTTGGGATATGGATACAAATATAATACTAAGCCTATGAATATTTGTCATTATACAGAGGGAGACAGACAAAAAAGGCCCTGTTTCTGAAAGGTAATAGGGAAATAGACATATATTTTTAAATTTTCAAAGTAATGAACTACCTTAAAGTCTGACTATATTAACAAAAATTAACATATGGGAGAAAAATTATATGTACTTGTTTTGTAAAGAGTGGTATGTAGATAAAGAGTGAGGGAAGGTGATTTCATTAATTCTCCTTTTAATAATTGTCATGTATACAGCATCTTTTTTCCATATTCACTTAGGTTGGTAGGAAGTACTAAACCATATAACTTGGATCAACAGATAACTGCTTCTCTGCAGTTTTAACAACTTTAATAGCTATTTTTAAAATGATTTGAATGCTTATATAATTTAGCATTGTTTCGCTAAATGATTCCTCTGTACTTTTACAGAAAAGAAGACAGATAAAAGCAGTTTTGTATGACTGCACTCATTTTTCAATGCTGAGTTTGATAGTTTAGTCTGATGATTATGATCTTCTACTTTTAGTTCCTAGTCGAATAAACATTCAATAACTTCTTGTTGGGTAATGGAGCAAACCAAATATAGAAACTGGCAAAATAATAGCTATTATTTTTATTTGACATAAAACAAATATTGACCATTTTATTCATTTAAATGCTGTTTACATGTGAACATTTTTTTGCATTTAATAATGGTTGGAATGTTTTTTGAAAAATAATATTTCTTTTCAGTTTCACAAGTGGTGACTACCAAGTTTGAGTTAGATATAAGAGATTTTTTATTTTAAGGGTGCATTTGAATGTTGAATGCTCAGAAGAAACGTTCGTTTATAAAATAGAGTTTCACATATAGACTATTACAATGTGTTTGTTATTTTTATTAACAATTGGCAATGCTGTCATAGATCGATTAATTTAGCATGCTAGCTAGAATTTTGTGAATCACAATTTGTTTTTTTTTTGTCTACCTAAAGTCCTAGAGTTAAGAGATTCACTAACGTCCTAAACATAATTAGGTTGCCTAATAAACAGACTGTGTTATCCATAAATATGTGATCTTCAGTCCAAATTCATAAGTTTTTTCTTTAGAATATTTTTTTTTTAATTTTTTTTTTCAACGTTTATTTATTTTTGGGACAGAGAGAGACAGAGCATGAACGGGGGAGGGGCAGAGAGAGAGGGAGACACAGAATCGGAAACAGGCTCCAGGCTCTGAGCCATCAGCCCAGAGCCCGACGCGGGGCTCGAACTCACGGACCGCGAGATCGTGACCTGGCTGAAGTCGGACGCTCAACCGACTGCGCCATCCAGGCGCCCCTAGAATATTTTAATTCCATTTAAATCATGCATTTGCTAAGATGGTAGGTATGTAGGTATTAAGGGATTATAGAAGAATTTTTCAGACTTTAGAATACTTTTTCTCTTACCAAAAAAAAAAAAATTCTAAATCAAAAAGAATGTGAAAGAATTTTAAGATATGCTAAGTGCAAATGATTAATGTCCATGTGTAAGTCTAATTACCTCTACTTTTTTTACCAGGATGGTGCTGATCTACCATCTGTAGAATTGGTACCTTATTTTACTTTTTTATGTTAGGGATGAAAGTTCAAGTCTCCTCCTGGCACCTTCTAACCATTTATAATTTGGTCTTCAGTAGAACCTGTAGAAGAAAGAAAGGTAATTGGTTCACAAAGCTATTTCATTTTCTTGAACACTTAACCAAACATAAAATGTACAGCTGAATCAACCTATGTGCGTTGCCTTCTTTGCTCTTAAACTCAGGTTGCTTTGCACTGCTAGAGAGAATCAAACAGAAGCAGTGCAGACTAATGTCACTAAAAATGCATGGGCCACAGTCTCAAGTAATTCTTCCATGGTGTCCGGTGTTATATGGGAAATCCATACTTTCTAATACTTCCTGTGCAACTCCTCCCCCAAGTATCTCATGGATCCCCCTGACTGTCTTATATATTTCCAGTAATAAATCCAAACTTGTGCACTCTCACTGTCTGTTGGTCACCTGCCACAACTGAGAATAAGCAGACTTGAGATGCTGAAGCTTCATCTAGTACTAAGCATTGGATGCAGAATCCCTCTCTTCTTTATGTATGTTATATATTCCAGAGACATCTAATCTAGTATTTGAACCCAAATGTCATTCAGGTTTTTTGAAAGAAGCTGGTGGGGTTTTTTTGTTTTTGTTTTTGTTTTTGTTTTTCTCATATATTCTTCTCTTGAACTTTGTAAATTTGCTAACCTATTGCTTTACTTTTAAAATTCACATAATAGGAATATTGATCTTATTGAGTTCCTATGAGATTTAATTGAGATAGTTCACATAAAGCACTAAATACCCTATTCTTGGCATATAAAAAGTACTAAAACAATGTTAGAAGTTATCAAGATCATCAGTATCACCATGATCATCCAATTTCCCCAAACAGAGAGTGACTGTCTGTTGATGCCAGGAAAAAAATCTAAAATCTTTAAATAGCTTATAATAATCTTGATGATTTGGGACTGTTTCTCCTTTCAGTTCTCCAGACACGCTATTTATGCTCTCTGAACAGTGCTGTTAATTGTGTCTTGCCTCTCTCTGGGCCTTTGCACATGTTGTTTTTGTCTTACTTGAATATCTCTCCATTGCCCTTTCTACCAATAAGGTGAGGGCTATCTTGAACAAAGGGAAGGGAATTCAGATGTTATTCAGCCAAAATGAATAATAAAGGTCCACTACAATATTCCTTATTGAAATTTATCCATTTTATTTAGATTTTTGCAGTTTTGGGCATGTGTATATTTTTATAATATTATTATATTATTTTTGTAATATTGTACCTATAGATATCTCTCCTTTTTCATAGTGCATTTTTCCACCTTCACCCCCCACCCCCACCCTTGGTCAGTCTTACCAAGTCTTTTCTAACTTTTCAATCTTTTCACAGAACCAGGTATTGGTTCATTATCCTCATTAATGCTTAGTTTCCATTTTTGCTGATTTCTATTCTTATTTCATTAATTCCTTTCATCTTCTTTATATGGATTTTGCAATAGTAATATGGATTTAAAAATTAACTTGTTCACTAATTTATTGCTAGTTCTTAGAATAGTGTCTGGTCCATAGTAGGCTTCCAACCAGTATGTAACTAATGCATCAAGGTATAGATATCAGCTTCTTCATGAAGTTTCATTATTATTACTACCCATCCAAGGTTAGATTCTGTGCTCATCTTACATTTTTTAGTGTATTCTGTGTTACTGAAAATGCATTATGACTTTTTTTTACCCAATAGACACTAAGAAAGTCTTTTCTAAAATTCTTATGCCAGCACATTACCTAGCATTTAATAGAAAATCAAATAAATTATTGTTGGATAAAGAAATGAATTTTCATGAATTCAAAATGCAAAGTGGATCTCTTTAAACTATAATCTTGGAGTCATCAAATTTCTTGATTACCAGGATAGTGTTTGATAATCCTTTACAAATACATGACATTGTATCTTTGAATGATAATAAAAATTCTCTTCTAAGAAAATGTCCATATTTTATTTATGTCACCCTCAAAAAGTCAGGAGGCATGCCATGTAAATAGGTGTTACCCCATTTTCTTCTAATCATTTCTGTAATGTCATTACACAGCACATCAGAAATTAGGATTCATCCTGACTTACTATCTAATATAAAAACAAAAATGCATGTTTTTATAAATGTATCTGTATCAGGAATCAATGGATTTTAGTAATTTTATGTTCATATTCTCCACAGCTTTCAAGATTAATAAAAATAATCATTTGCCATTTCAACTTTTACCTTTACACCTCTTTTCTTCCCCTTTCCTCCTTCTCTTTTTTCTTCACATGGCCTGCTATGACAGAGACTGACCGCACAACAGAAGGAAAGAACATATAGAGGCATTCAAATCTAGGCTTTGGCATTTTGTAACTTGTGTGATTTTCAGTAAAGTACTTCACCTCTCTGAACCTCTGTTTACTTACCTTTAAATAGCAATGACAATAAAATTAATACCTGTCTGATAGGATTGCCATGGAAACTAAATGACATAATATAAATAACATTCCTGGTACATATTAGCAGATCCTCTTGTTAGGTGTTCTCTAAAAAGAAGTAACATTCAAAAATTGTACCCAATATTAAGTGCAAACTCACAAATATCTGTAAGGCTAAATGAATGGGTCTGGTTCTTCCTGATAGTTTTTCTAGCTATTGTTCATCATCTAAATGGTCTCTTATGCAGCACCATAATGTCGGGCTCCTATCTTAGGAAAGCAATCTGGCCTGATTTCCTTGCTATTGACTGAGGGTTCAGGCCACCAGTCCTAAACAGTGACATTTCATTTATACTAGATCACTGACATTCTCCTCAAGGGACCAGTACTGATAATTTCATGAATCTTTAAAACCCCCAATACTATTATAGAATGTAATTTCTGTCACAAAATTCAGTAAGTGAAGTAAATTCATGAAGCTCATAAGTGACCCTTTTGGATTTTTAATGATTCTATAAATGCATTACTAAAATAATTTATAAAGCTAAATGAGTCATTCCACACATCAATATGGGTAATTCAAACAGGTGCTTCAGCAAAATTCTGAACTGCTAGAAGTCGTGGACCTTACCCCTTTACTCTGCTTATTGCTAAATATATCCAAACTACATCACTAACCTCACTCCATAAATTTTGTAAACCTGATAATTCCACATTGACTTTGACAGATCTTTAAACTATTTTAAAATGACTTCCTGATTTCGGGTTTGCTTTTCTTTATTAGAATCTGTGTATCAATTTTTTTTTCAAGATTTTGTTTGTTTGTGTCTATACATTTTGATGAAATGATATCGTGTGGTTTTTCAGTTAAAAAACAGTGACAACTTCAAGGCTATTATGTGCTTATTGTGCCCGGTGAACTAAGAGTCTAGCTATTTTTGCAAGCAATACTTGATTTTCCTTTCATAGACTTACTTGACACCAAAGTGGAACTTTCAGAGTAAAGAATATCTGGATTTTAATCCAGCTACATTTTTTTTTAAAAAGAGCACTGCGATGAGACAAGTTATATAGACTCACTTTTCCTGTCCATAAAATATTGATCTACTGTGAGACTGTCGGGAGGATTAAAAAGAATAAAATATGTCACCATTTATTATGGGAAAGGTGTTCAATAAATATTGGTTCTCTTCTCATTTCCTTCTAATCACACTGGTTTCTTTTATGCTTTCTTACAGGATAAACGTGACATTTTAAAAATAGAGACCAAGATGAGAAATGTATTTGCAAACCCTTTTTATCATTTTCTATTCAAATAAATAGTACACATCCTCCTATTGTCCTGTCTCACTTAGCATTTTAGGTCCATGTTTTCTTTTAAAAAAGTTCTTTTATACTTTCCTACTGGCAGTGCTATTTCTTTGTTCACTCTTTAATAACTGTCATGATTTCTATTTTTGGAAGATTTACTATTTGGCTTGGGTGCAACTGTGTTTCTTTATTCTTTTTGGTGACTTTTACCACTACTGGGCTAATTTATTAAGGAAGGTTTTTTGTTACCAGTTTCTTCAGATGTATATTATGATAAGGAAGTCAGTGACATCTAATGACAGGAAAGATCTAGACTCAGGTGAAGAGTCCATTTACTGCCAGTAACTAGCCATCATCAGATGTTAAATAAGCTTTTTAAAATATCAAGATATTGAAAAAAATCATAATTGATTTCATAGTCACAACTTAAACATTTATGAATTTGCAAGGTGTCTTTCAATATTCAAATCTCAGGGTAAGCCAATTTCACAATGCTCTTTCTGAAAAGTATAGAGAATTAACACTTTTATATGGCTTCTCCCTACACGTGTCCCTTTGATCTATACATGTGCTCATTCCACATTTATGGAAAAGTCAGAATTTCATATTCCTTTCTACTTCTTTAATTATTTTTATTAGCATTATCATTATTTAGTTCTGTCAATGCGGACATTACTTTTACATGGCAACTTGGGTTTAAAATGCACATTTATCTCCTTTCTTGAACAAATAAGTAAATGAATTAATGATGTCTGTAAGATGCATGAACTGATCCCATACTCTTCAGTGAATAAAAAGAGATGCTGATAGGGTATAGTTTTGGCCAAGTCCCCAGAGCTGTGACTCCAAGTCTGATTTTCTGAGTCCTAGTCCTTTATTTCTTAAATTACATTCTTCTTTTCAATTTCCCATTTCTCTTTGTATCTTCCTGAAGTCATGAGCAGTGATCTTCCTTGAAGATTTTATTTGATTTACTAAGCCTTCTTTTTGGCTTTCCTCTCTATATAGAAAGATAACAAGATTAACAAATGCAAGAAGACTTAGATATACCATCTGTATTGATTTTTAGAGAAACAAAATCAATACAGAATCAATTCATATTCAACCACCATGAATATAGATGTATATGATTGATATGAGTATGAATGTATGTTCATATTACATATTATGGAGGCTGAGACGTCTCAAGATCTCTGAATACATATTACGGAGGCTGAGATGTTCCAAGGTCTGCAGGTGGGACCTGGAGGCTCAGGAGAGCCAGTGGTGTAAGTTTCAGTCTGAAAGTGATCAGACTCAAGATTCAAGAAGAGCTGTTGTTTATATCCCAAGTTTGAAGGCAGGAAAATA